CCTAGCTGCTGTCTGGATTCTCTCCATGTCTTTGAATTTGAAGAACTTGATTATGCTATGCCTTGGTGATTTTCTTTCAGGGTGCATTCTTCCTGGTGTTCGTTCAGCTTCTTGAATGCTTATGTTTTCATTTTAGGATATTAGGGAAATTTTCTTCCAGCAGCTCTTCAGCTGTCTTCTCTGTGGTCTTCTGAGATCCCTCCTGTTCCGGGACTCCAGTAACTCTCAGAGTATTCCACTTCATGTTGTCCTACATGAATCTTAGACTTTCTTCAGATTTTTCAATTATTTTTTCTGCTTGCTCTTCTATCTTAGCAGTATTGAGAGATTTTTGTCTTCAAGCTCACTGGTTCTTCTGTCTCTTCAGTTCTGTTCCTTTGCCCTGTCAGTATATTGTCCATTTCTGATATTTTATTATTAATTGTTTGGACTTCTTTTTGCAGGTTTTGAATTGTTTCCATTGTTATTTCTATCTTATTTGGTTGTTCCTGTAGTACTTTTCTGACTTCTTCCTTATTTTTCTCAACCTCTCTGTGGAATATTTAGATGTACTTCAATATCATTCACCTGAATTCCTTATAAGGCAGTTCCAAAGCCTGTCCTCCTTCCAATGGGAATTCTAGGTCTATCTCTAGCTCATTTGATTCAACTACTCTATCTTGTTTCTGGACATGAACTGAGCTTTTCTGTTGTTTTTTTGGGCTTTTTCAATAATTAGATGAATGTATGTTGGTGTATTATTAAGCTTTCTGACTGTTTCCTGGTAGGTGTGATAAAGAGATTAGCTTCTCTTTTCACTTCTATCATTATACAATTGAGAGTAATTTTGGCATGTGTTTGATTATCTACACTTTCTGGTGTATAGCAGCTGGTATTGACTCTTGCCCAGATAGTAGGATTTTATAGGGTGTGATTATAGCTTGGCTATATGACTACAATTGCTGTCTCTTCTTGGATAATGTAGGTAAAAGGAGAAACCTTCCCCCCCCCACCCCCCAAAAAAAATAAAATAAACAAACAAACCAAATAAACAAAAAAGCCAGATTGGACACTAAAGTTTATAATCGCCACAAAAAAAGAAAAAAATTATTGGACACTAAAGTCTACTGTCACTACCAAAACAACCAAACCAAATAAACAAACAAAAAAAACCCATAGCAGATTAGTCCAGGTGTTTTTCCTAGTGAAATCAGCTCCACAGCTGGCCAGGCTGTTTTAAGCTATTCCTGTTGACTCCTCTCCCTTCCTCAATTCTGGGCCCAGTGATCTTTTCTGAGCAGATCTGCATATGTGTGCAGTAGAACCCTTCAGGAATAGGTGTTCACTCACTCAGGCACCCCCTCAAGTCACCAGAATGCAGGTGTGCAGATAGAAAAAGAAAAATGAGTGAAAGAAAGATTGTTTGCATCTTTAACCCTGTCAGTTGGTCAGGTTCCTAAGATGGGATTTCTCTCCTGCTGCTGTATCCGGGGTGTCCCACTCAAGATGGCTGCACCTGATGTAACCGGCAGCCACCACTCAGAAAGCGCCACTTTTCTTGCTTCTGCTACAAATCTCACTAGCAGAAAGCCTAAAGTACTTATAAATATTCCTTCTTATGTAGTTCAGAGTTCCAGGATTGTCTCCAAACCTGCTTCATTTGGTATTTTCTGTTACTGCTTGTGCAAGTCTGCACAGTGCCTCTCCCTAATCAGCCATCAAGCCCCACCTCCCTCAAATCCATCCCTTTATTACTTTTGTTTTTTAAGTTTTTATTGTGAATTGGGTGAGAGTTTATAGACAAGACTATCAGCTCTACATTCAGCAAACTATGCACCTTGTTTCATCTCAATGATCACAATCCCCTCCCTGCAACAACATTTATTATACTTCCTCCCTATGTCTCCCCATTACACCTTATATTACACAAAGGGGCAAGGCAACAATATTTGATGTGCACTTATAAAACAAAAAAGTATGTATTCATTTAAATGTCCAAAGGGCACATTCTGCCAGCCAGCCTCCTGCCTACAGGTACACAGCCACCGACTCTGCTGTCTCCACTTTTCTAGGTTGGGATCTCATGCTCCGGTCATGCTCTTCTTTCTTGATGGTGCTAGGATCATCTGTTCCTGAAATGAAAGATACTCCCTGATTTCATTTATACATCTTCTACAATTAGAGTTGTGACAAGCATAATTAATCCTGCTAACAGTTATTCACAATTGAGTCATAAAATCCTGTCACCGTAATTCCTCATCCCCTTTTGTCAGATCCATCTGGAAAAGAGAAAAAAACTATTCAGTGGAGATTCTACCTTACCCACCCCTCACCTTCTGCAACTAAACACACTCATGAAAACTTGTAAGCCAGCTACTTCATGCCTTTGTATACCCCCTCCTCCATTTGTGATAGCTAATGTCTAAATTTCTCATCCTTATCAATCCAGTACACTGAGGAAACAGGGTTGTTCCTTGATATGAAGAATCCTTCCATTCCAGTTGGAATTTTGAGTTACTGCATTCGTAGGCAAAAGTCTGTCCTGTCAAATGGTAGCAATTTACACTTGTTCTCAGTATCAAACATCTGCATCTTCCTCGGGTCAGCCTTTTATTCTTGCGTACGTCTTGTGCCTTCCTTTACCTTGATCACACTGTGCTGACTTCACCCATATTATGTTGTTGTTGCTGTTAAGTGCCATCAAGTCACTACTGACTCATACAGACTCTGTATAGGGTTTCTTAGGAGTGGCTGGTGGGTTTGAATCGTCATCCTTGTGGTTAGCAGTCCAGTGCTTATCCTACAGTGTCATACCAAAACTCCCATGTCGTAGGAGATAGTTTCTTAATTTTGATGTATTTTTATTTAATCTTAATTTTATTTTTTAGAGTAAGCATTATACAAGAGGGGGATTGGCAGAAGAAAGACGAAGATAGTAGGAGATACAGGGAGGAATGAAAGAGTTAAAATGAATAGAAGTTAATACTGTTGGTATTAGAGGGGATTGCTATCATTATAATGAAGCAAAGTATATGATTTGTTGAATGTAAAACTGATGGTCTGCTCTGTAAACCTTTTTTAGCTCACAATAAAAAGTTAAAAAGTTTGATGACAAAAGTAACACTTGCTCTTTATAGAGAAATTTTTTAATCCAGTACAGCAGACAGAAGATAATTAAATTTACTCACAGTCCTAACACTTGGTCAAAGCCAAATTGGCTATATTTTCAGAAAAATGATGCTAATTAGGTTTGTCACCATTTCTAGAATGACTTATGCGCTACAGAGTTGTGCTGTGCACCCTCATGGGTATTTGTATGGGGTCACTATAATTGGAATAGACTTGGTATCAGGTTAATGGGTATGACACAGAGTCGGCGTCCTGAATGAGTCAGGGTGACGAATGACTCATACTTCCTTTTTCTGCTGTGTTATGTACCAGGGGCCTTCACAAAAGTTTGTGGAAAAATTCCATTATCTTTTAGTTCCACTTTTCCCTGAACTATTTGAAGTCTCATAAATGAGGCGTTCTGCTCCTGTAAAGATTTACAGCCTCGGAAACCCTGTACAGGGTTACTATGAGTCGGAACCAACTCCACGGTACTTACTAACAACAACAATATATGTTCTATGGTAGAAAGAACGTTGGCTCTGAAGGTTCATTCAGCAGGCTAATTGAGTGCCTCTCCAGTAGTGATCTGGGCGCTGGGAATATAATGGTGCTTGCTTTTGTGAGTGTTCATTCAAAAGGACTGACACCTGTGGGCAAGTCACTCTGTGTGTCTCTGTTTCCTCATCTATAAAGTGAATATACTGCAGGTTTTTTATGAGATTACATGAGAACATCTGCAGTGACTAACACAAGCAGAAACTCCATCATGTCTTCCTCCTTGCCAAATCGTTGTAGACAGAGACAGCAAATTGCTAAGACTGTTGGGGCAAGTTAAGCAAAGCTGCACTCACTCTTGCTTTCCTTACAGCAAGTTAAATATATGACATATAAATTACCTGTCGCATCAGAGTTAACAGAGAGAGCACACCTGCAAACCCAGTGCAACTGGTCTGGTGTGGATGTTGGTTAGGAAGGATGTACTTCATAGGGTCTCTGCATGGGATACATCTTTACAGCCTCAGGGAATTTTGTTACTACTAGGAGTACAGTGGTTTTCTTCCTTAAAGACAGTCTTTAGATTGTAGGCTCTATTTCAGAATACAATGAAGTACTTTAAGTAGTAAAGTAGCTTTGAACAGTTATTTCCAATACAACCAAAGACCCTGACCCTAAAATACATCAACAGTAATATTGGAAGCACTTCATAAAAAGTGAAAGGTGAAAATTTATGACAATAAGAAATCATTATATGTTGAATTCCTTTCTGCCTTCTAGTCTATATTTGAAGTCCTTTTTCAGCAAGTAACTGATAATAAACTTTATTAAATTTTAGAGAGCTGATCTGACCAAATGAATTCAAGTTTTTATGGTTCTGTATGAAGATGTCTTATTAAATCCACTTGTGCAAACAAGAATTCTCTTTTTAATCTGTCAATAATACAAGCATCTGTTGAAAGTTTGCTCTGTGCCTGGTACTCTGCTGGGGCCCAGAGGGGTATGAGACGCATGCCAGGGAGCTCTCATCTCAGTGGGGATAGGAATTACCAGAGGGTGTTGGTACTGGTGTTCCCATCTGGTATGCACCAGTTACCGGAGATGATATATCAGACAGGTACATATTTGAGAGTTCCTAGGTGGCACAAGTGGCTAAGCACTTGACTCCTAGCAGAAAGGTTGGCAATACACATCCACCAAGAGGAACCTTGGAAGAGAGGCCTGGTGACCTGCTTGTGAAAGGTCATAGGCTTGAAAACCTAACACAGCAGTTCAACTCTGCACACGTGGGTCGTCACAAATCGAAATCAACTCCATGGCACTAAACAACAATATTGCAATGTCCATTCAGTTAGGTCTAAACTAAGGGGTAATTTTCAGAATAAATCACTTGTAATATTTTTTGTCTTCTTCAGGGCTCTGAATCTTCATCCATTCTCAGTCAAGCCTCTTCTGCGGCGAGCTTTGGCCTATGAAACTGTAGAACGGTATCGGGAAGCTTATGTGGATTATAAAACAGTGTTGAAAATAGACTGTGGAATCCAACTCGCACATGCCAGTATTAACAGGTAACCCCGCCTCAGGCGTCTATTGAAGGGCTGTTTAGTGAAGGTAGATTTCTCCTCCCTCCCCCTCCTTCAGGAAGAAAGCCTATGTGTTAGACATGTTGTCAGTTCTGTATTTTGTATGAAAGGTTGTCTTCTTTTCACTCCATTAAAACCACATGGGTCTCTCTAACTTAACTTCTAACTATTCCTTAATACATTTTTAGTTGTTCTTCCATTATTTAAAATTATTTGCTGTCTGGTCCATTTATTACCATTCAGTGAAAATTCTACTTCCTTTTTTTTTTTTTTTAAATAATAACAGATATAGCTCATATCTGGTACTCAAAATGCACAGATTTAATTTAGTATCTGTAAATATCTGTGGGGTTAGCAAAGTGTTTTCATTGATGTCACAAATCTGTATTAATTACAGAACTAAATCCAAAAATGAAGTGAAAAATGCCACTTTGAAATGTCTCCTCCTACAAGTTTTGTAAATGTCCATGGGCCACCACATCTGTCAGTAGAAATCTACCTGCTGTTTCTTCTCAGGAGAATGAATGTCTTCATGAGCCTGCTTGATATTTGTATTATGTTGTTGTTGTTAAGTGCCAGCAAATCAGTTCCGACTCATAGTGATCTTGTGTAGGGCTTCCGAGGAATGAATGACTGATGGGTTTGAACCACCAACTTTGTGGTTAGCAGTCCAGTGCTTCATTACAGCCCCACACCAGGACTCCATTTGTGTTATATGCCCTTGTAAGAAGACACTCACCGAAGATGCATATTAATTTATAAAGGTAAAATAGCAAAGAATTTGGATCTAATTTACATAATGATGTATTTGTCTCTTGAGTGAGAATGGGAAGGCAAGAACTTCCAGACTTTATACCTTGCTTTCAAGGATCTCTGGTAGCGTAGTGGTTACGAATCGGGCTATGAACCGCAAGGTCAGCAGTTCGAAACTACCAGCTGTTCGACGGAAGAAAGATGAGGCTTTCTGCTCCCATAAAGATTTACAGCCTTGGAAACCCTGTACAGGGTCACTATGAGTCAGAACTGACTCCACGGCACATAACAACTACAACAACATACCTTGCTTTCAGGTGAAATGTGACAGGTACTAGTTGGATGACATTTCTAGTTATGAGTAATTCTGTCTGATTTCATTTTGCTTAGAGCAGAGCTTCAGGTGTTTGTGCTGCACTGTGATAGTGGTGGTCTAGTGTACCCATATTCCACAACAGGAAAAATGGCATGCTCTCTGTCTTTAAGCTACCTGAGGTCTAGCTGGAGGGAGAGGGGGAACTTAAGGGAAGACGATAAGGTCGGTGGGGGTGCCACAGAGAGCTCAGGCCACCTTTGTCTATACCTTGTCATCACCAAAGATTGGATCTTGACATTTCAGTTGAGAAAACTGTAGGGAAAGTTTGTGTGATATTTGTGTGGGCTCCAGTTGTTTGGAAAATCTTCATGGAGAGAGTTCTTGAGATGGTCTTTAAAGAGAGCTGATAGAAAGTGAAGAGACTTGGAACAAAATTATGGAAAATGAGAATTTTGGCCTATTTTGGGTGAATCATTTAAAAAATCGTGCCTTACCTCCTTAGATGGTCCTAGCCTGTTGTGGAGAAACAACCATTTCCTGCAGCATCTATATTGTGGCCTCATGGAAGCTGTCTAGTTCCAGTCTGATAAGAGTGAAAGGGATATGTATTGGTTTTGCAGGTGTGTGGCAGGGTAGACTAGATCAAGACAGTCACAGCTTCCTTGATCTCTAGCTTGTGAGATGAGGCCATTTCACCGAGCCATTGTCCTGGTCACTGCCTTGTTACTGCATGTGATCTGTTTTTTCTTCTTATGCACATCTCTTAAGCAATAAATCTATGTCTTTCCTCATAGCCCTGGGTAAGTATTTTTGACTCTAGGTGTTTGTCTATTCTAGATATTTTATATCAGTGAAATCATACAATATCGGTCCTTTTGTGTTGACTTACTATTTTCAAGGTCCACCCATGTCATAACATGTATCAGAACTTAATTTCTCTGTATAACTGAGTAATAATCCATTGTGTGAATATGTCACATTTTGTTTATCCACTCATCTTATGAAAAACGACACCTGGCTTTGTTTCCACCTATTGGCTGTTGTGAATAGTGTTCAAAGGACATTGGTGTGCATGTATCTGAGTCACTGCTCTCCTGTATTTTGGGTATGTACTTAGGAGTGGAATTACTGAATGATATAGTAATTCTGGAGTCCTGGCATGGTGCTGTAGGGTAAAGCACAGGACCACAAGGTCCGTTTGAATTGTAAGGTTGGCAGTTCAAACTTACCGGCTCCGCCTCAGAAACCTTATGTGGGCTTGCTATGAATTGGAACCGACTCGGTAACACTTAACAACAACAACAGTACCTATTTCTGTGTTTAACCTTTTGAGGAACTGCCAAAGTATTTTCCACAGCAGCTCCACCGTTTTGCATCCCTGCCAGCAATGGAGGAGGTTTTAATTTCCCTATATCCTGTATTTGTTATTTTTCGTTTTTCTTATCATATCCATCCTAGTGGGTATGAAGTAGTATCTCACCGTGGTTTTGATTTGCTTTTCCCTGAAGTTATTTATGGAGTCCTGGCATGGTGCTGCAGGATAATGCACTGGACCACAAGGTCAGTTTGAACTGCAAGGTTGGCAGTTCAAACTCACCAACCGCTCCTCAGAAACCCTTTACAGGGTCACTATGATTCCATTGCATTCAAGACCAAAAACACAGCTAATGATGTTGATTATCTTCTCATGTGCTTATTGGTCATTTGTCCAGTGCAGTAGCCCACAGCGCTACACCATGGTCAGCACCGACTCAACGGCACTTAACAGCAACTGGTCATTTGTATATCTTTAGAGAAATGTCTATTCTTATCCTTTGCCCATGTTAAAAAATTTGGGCTGTTAATCTTTTCGTTGTTGGGTTGTAGGGGTCATAGAGATTCTTTAGAGTCCTGGTATAGTGCTGTGTGTTAATGTGTTGGACTGCAAGGTTGATTTGAACTGCAAGGTTGGCGGTTCAAGCTCACCAGCCGCTCCTTGGAAACTCAATACAGGGTCACTATGAGTCAGAACTGATATAAGTTTGGAACCAACTCTATAGCACTTAATAACAACAAAAGGGGTTCTTTACGTATTTGGAATATTAAGCCCTTATCAGCTATATAGTTTCTAAGTATTTTCCCCATTCTTTAGGTTGTCTTTTAATTTTCTTAATGATGTCCTTTGCACAAAAGTTTAAAATTTTGATGTAATTCAATTTGTCTTTTGTTGTTCATGGTTCTTAGTGTAATTTCTAAGACGCAACTGTCAAAACCTAGGTCTTGAAACTTACCTCTATGTTTTCTTCTAAGAAATTATAAGAATTATGGTTATAGTTCTTATATTTCGTTCTCTGGTCCAAGTTGAGTTAATTTTAGCATTTGGTATGAGGGGTAGAGTATATGGTGCACCTCTATCTCTTTTTTTTCTTTTTAAAGAATTCTTGTTCTGTTGCTATCCCTTAAAGGATTTATGCTTTACCAAAAATCTTTATAGTTCTAGTACCTCATCGTGGTGGTGGTGGTGATGTGCTCTGGAGTTGGTTCTGACTCATAGCGACCCTGCACAGGGTTTCTGAGGCTGTAAATCTTTACGAGAGCAGAAAGCCTCATCTTTCTCCTGCGGAGAAGCTGAAAGTTTTGAACTGCCGACCTTGCGGTTCACAGCCCGATTCGTAACCACTACGCTACCAGAACTTCTCATAGTAGATATCCTCAATTAAAAATGTGTTATTAAGCATAGTAGTTTATCTCTTTCATATGCTAAGGGATTTGCTTTTTTAGTTTTCACTATTCTGTGCCTAGTATTTCCCAAGATGTTTGGGTAAAGGAGAGCTTCTCACAGAGTTGACCCGGAGGAGTCTGATGAAAAGATGTTTGTGGAAATACCGTTGAATGGAAGTAGGCCGGATGCATTGAAGGAAGAAGTACTGTGGCTAAGAGACCATGACTCCTCATGTCTGAAACTTCTGTATTACACCTTTGGTTGGCCCTCAAGCTGCTCTTTTAGACAAAGTAACTTTGAAGATTCAGTCATGTTTTTAGATTGAATGATTCTTGATAGATCATTTTTTTAAGAAGAGGAGGATAATTCAAGTCTTGCCATATATACTTTTATGTAAATTAGCCAGTTATTTTTAAAGTCCCATTTTGTGACTCTCATATTGATGCTTGCTTTCCCATCTATTTTAGTCCATGGAAAATAAAATAGCAGCAGCTTATTACCATTATTATTTTATTTCAACGTCTGTGCTTATTTTGTTTGTACCTTCTGTTAACCATGTCCCTTTCTTCCTCTCCAGGAATCTTATATGTTACATTCCCCTGCATAAACTCATTTACTCCCTGGCAACACATCATCTCTTTTCAGCTGCTTCTTCCTTCCTCTCTGCTGGTAATAACAAGTTTTTCTTGAAAATTCTTTTCCTAGAGCTTCTTTATCTTGTACGACTGTGGGTGGTTATACATGGATTTTCAAAGTGATCTTTTTACACTAAAATCAATGAGATTTGGTTATCATAACCAAAGATCAGACACTGAAATTTCGCTTTAATGACCTGTAGGAAAAGTATGTATATTATATTAGTCTGTGTATAAATATAAACATTTCTCCCACAAAGACTACCAGAAACTTCTGAGGTAACAAACTTCTCAGCCTTGAGAAATACTTTTTTTTTTTTTTTTAAATGAGATTCATCCCAAAGATATTTATTCAATTTTGTTTTAAAATCTACATGTGACATTTTATGTTTAACATCATGAGAAAGTGATAATTGATGTTAATTTGAATTTGTGTGGTGCCCATTTAGTAAATGCCATTAATACAGGGGCCCTAGTAATGGACTCCTTGGAGTCCTGGTGTGGCGCTGTGGGTTAATGCGTCAGACTGCAAAGCCGTTTGAACTACAAGGTGGGCTGCTCCTCGGAAACCCTATACAGGGTTGCTATGGGTCAGAATCGACTCGACGGCACTAAACAACAAACAACAGTAATGGACTCCAATATCCCATTGCCTCACCTTTGTGCATATGAAAACAGAATAGGTGGATTCATTTAGAGATTAAAAAAAAAAGATTACAAGGTAAGAAGACTGTCATAACCACATGTAAATTTTTTTTTACATAATGCAACATGCCAAAACAGTCCACAAAGACAATATTCTACATCCTATTCTGGTGAGTAGCGACTGGGCAGAAAAGCTTCTGAGCAGCCACCTAAGGTGCAACTGTTGTTCTCTGTGTGTCTGGAGGAAACAAGAGTGATGTAAATTGAAGACACTTGGAAACCATTAGTCCAGTGGATTAATGACCTTGTAAATATCCATCTCCATGACCCTGAGACCAGAAGAATTAGATGGTCCATGGCTACCACTACCAACTGTTCTGGAAGGGAACACATTAGAAGGTCCTGGAGAGAGTGGGAGAAAACGGGGAACAAAACTCAAATCGTAAAGAAGGCCACGCTTACTGGTCAGACAGAGATTGGGGGAGCAAATGGCCTTTGGTCACCCTTCAGGTCTGGAACTGAACTCATGCCCATGGCTCAATTTTCAGTCACATACACACGCAATAAGCATATAGGGTAACAACAACACTAGTGAGATATGTTCATCACTGAATCATCAACCCGTTGAAAGCAAAAGGGCAGCATTTACCTACAGACAAAATTCAGGACTGGGAAAGAAGGATGAGTAGAAATAAGAATCACAGGGAGGAAGTTAGATGAGTGATGTCACACTGAGGAGATTGGAGTCACTGAGATGAAACGAAGTGTGTGATTTGTTGAATAAAACTGATGAGCTGCTCTGTAAACCCTCAATTCACAAAGTAAAAAAAGAAAACGAATAGCCATGTGACAGCTAGCCCTTCTCAGTTTTAGCGATTCTAAAGTACTTTGGATTATTCTCAAGAATCATTCATTATAAATTTAATACTTATATTAAATATTAGGGGGACATTTCTCCTAGGCGTTCTAAATTTTAGTTTTAGATTGAACTTTTATAAAAGTTAAAGATTTTATTGTATACATTCTTAAATGCCATCAAGTTTTTTTCCGATACACATGTAAAAAACTTTTTTAACATAATAGCAAAATCTTTAATTATTTCTTAACTAAAAAATGGTCTAAAGTTAGTTTGTGACAATTCCTAAAAGTTCTTTTGAATCAATTTAATTGATATGGACAGAAAATTGCTCAAGATTGTATATTTCTACAAGGAAGTGAACATTTGCAAAGCATTTGTAAATCTTACTCTTGATAATGACCTTTAGTGATCTAAAAAATAGCAAGCTACATAATCAATAGCGAAAACACATTTTCTTTTCAGGATTACAAGACTTTTAATGGATCTGGATGGACCAAACTGGCGGGAGAAGTTGCCACCCATCCCCTCTGTGCCCACTTCTGCACAGTTGCGAGCTTGGCACCCGACAGCAGAGAGGACCTCAGCCCAAGCAGGAGATTCCAGCAGCCATCACCAACCAAGTGTCCCAGGTGTGGAAGCCCACCCTTATTTTTCCTGAAGATTATCTTGAGCCCTGTGTGTGTGTGTGTGTGTTTTCACAGTGGAGATCATAGATGAAGTCTAGTACGTAGTCTTGTGAAGTGTCTTCATATCTCCAGTGTTCAAGTGTGCATGACAGGGAGAGAACATTAATACCCATCTCATGGGGGTTGTTGTCAGGAATAAATGGAGATACGCATATAAAATACTTAACACATCTGCTGACTTTTGTAAACCCTGTGTAGTTATTGTCAAGCCAACAGATGGCAACCCTATGTGTTGGAGTACAACCGTAATCCATAGGGTTTTCAGTGACTGATTTTTTTGGAAGTACATCCCCAGACATTTCTTCCGAGACACATCAGAGTGTACCCTAACTGTCCACTTAAATTATCAGTGTTATGAGAGGGCTTCTAAAAGTTTATGTAAAAAATGGAATTAAAAGATAATGGAATTTTTCCACAAACTTTTTGAAGCCCCTTTGTATCAAAAGAAGTATATAGTTTTGTAGTATGCCATGTGTGTGGCAAGTCTAAAGTAATATGGATGTGTTTAAAATAATTGCAAAAAACACAGCAGAAGTGTATAATGGGTACCTCCTGCCTTATATTATAGCGGTGGCACTGTAGGATAAGCACTGGACCGCAAGGTTGGTTTGAACTGCAAGGTCGGCTGTTCAAACCCACCAGCTGCTCCTCAGAAACCCTACCCAGGGTCACTATGAGTCGGAACCGACTCAACAGCACTTAACAACAACAGCAATTTATCTGTAGTCCTATAGTGCTTCCCTTATTACTTTTTGCATAATAAATGTCTAAGAGATGTGACAACTCATGTCTTCTGAGCTTTAAGGCCAATTGAGGCCTCCTTAGCACAGCTTAGGATTCTAGGTGCATCCAGGTTGGGCCTCATTTGGAAGAGTCCCTGAGGTCCCTGAGCTGTGCTTTCTGAATGACTAGTATTAGCCCTCATCATCCTCACTGCTTAGAAAATGGAAGCAAGGGCCATCTGGAAGCGCTTTTAGATGATTCCACATGCCTAGGAAAACCATGGAGATCTTTAGTTTTCTAGAGTTCATTTGCATTTTCTCAATACAGGGTAGCTGTTTATTATTAACAGAATGAACGTACCATTCATAAGTTATTGTTGTTGTTAAGTGCCTTTGAGTTGGTTCCCACCCATAATGACCCTGGCTAGGGTTTCCAAGGAGCAGCTAATAAGTCTGAAATACCGATCTCGCAGTTCAAACTGACTTTGCAGTCCAGCACAGTAATCCACAGAGCGCACACAGTGATCGAACAATCCTAAGCACAAGTATAATCAGCTCTTTGTAAACTTTTCTATCTATGTTGCTGTTGTTGTGTGCTGTGGAGTCGGTTCCAACGCATAGCGATCCTGTACAGGGTTTCCTACGGGAGCAGAAAACCTCATCTTTCTCCCGCGGAACAGCTGGTAGTTCTGAACTGCTGTCCCTGAGGTTCGCAGCCAGATTCGTAACCACTATGTTACCAGAGCTCCTTTTTCTATCTAGATTGTTTACTAATTATTGGTGAGAATGGATATGAAACCCATCACCATTGAGTTAAGGAGCTCTGGTTGTTGTTGTTAAGTGCTGTCAAGTCAGTTCTGGCCCATAGCGACCCTGTATAGGGTTTCCAAGGAGCAGCTGGTGAGCTTGAACTGCTGACATTGCAGTTCCAACGGTTTTGCAGTCTGGCGCATTAACCCACAGTGCCACACCAGGACTCCAAGGAGGTCTGGTTGCATAATGGATTTCCATCTGAGCTGCTAACAACAAGGTCAGCAGTTTGAATCTACTGGTCAGTCCTCAGAAAGAAGTAAGACTTTCTACTACCAGGAAGATTAACAGCCTCAGAAACCCTATATAGGGTTGCTATGAGTCAGAACCTACTCGGTGGCACACAACCACCACCGAGTTGATTCCAACTTATAGCAACCTTCTAGGGCAGACTAGGACTGTCCCATAGGTTATCTTTTTCCCTTTTTTTTCAATTGTGGTTCGGGTGAAAATTTACAAAGCACATTCCTCCCTGGGTTCCCTGGACCCATTTGTCCATCTTGCTTGCCTCTTTTTGCTGTCTGAGATTTGTTTTGGGGAAAATGCTGCCTTTCTGGTGTCATGGTTAATTGTCCTGCAGAGCACATTCTTCACTGGTGTCATTCTTCATTTGGTAGGTCTGTCTGTGATTTGGCTGCAAGGTGATTTCTGGGGCTGGGTTCAGGTCTAGCCTTGAAGGGTATCTAAGGACAACAGTCTCTGTCAAACCAGTAAGTCTGGTCTTTTTTGTTATTTTGAATTTTGCTCTACATTTTTCTCCCATTCTGTCCAGGGCCTTCTGTGGTTCTGATTAGAGCAGTTGATAGTGAAGGCTGCAAAAAAGTGACCACAGCCATCCCTCCCAAGGCTGTCTCTCATTAGCTGACTCAGTAATTCATTGCAGTGACCACACAGAACTCAGACATGCCCACAGGAACAGAAATGCTCAGAGCACAGTTCTTCTCGTCAAGACATCCTTTCCTCAGCCAGGCCCACAGGCAGGCTTCTCACTGGCCCTTGGCCTCTGGCCTGGTTCGTGGTGGTGATGTGCCGTGGAGTCGGTTCTGACTCACAGTGACCCTGTGAAGGGTTTCCAAGGCTGTAAATCTTTACAGGAGCAGAAAGCCTCATCTTTCTCCCGTGGAACAGCTCGTAGTTTCAAACTGCTGACTTTGAGGTTCACAGCCCAATTCGTAACCACTATGCTACCAGAGCTTACTCCAGCAATATCACCAAGCTCTGGTAGGGCTGTTGATAAATGTTCCCAGGACATACCTCCTACAGAATCTTCATCCTGAAGACACTCAGGTCTAGCTCCGTGGGTCAGCAAACCTGACACTCCCAGTGACTTGCCTGAAGTCGTCACACCAGTCTGCAAGCAACCCTTCTGTCCAAAGTCACGTAACTTTACTTGCTCCCTGGGCAGGCAGGGAAGCCCAGCAGTGTGTCTTATGCTTTGACTCTTGGTTCTGTTGCTGCTGCTCCTCTGCCATTCCTTTCTGTCCTTCTGTCAAGGAGGTTCATTGTGCAGGGATCTCACTCAGGGTCCAAAGGGCACACTCTACTTTTGGCGTTTCCTCTTTGATGGTAGTGAGATTCCCTTCTGTCTGAGATGACTCATTTTTACTTTAGAGTTCCAAGTTTTTACAATCACAGTGACCTTTGTGAGCAATCACAGCAGAGCCAGATCACCCTGTTAGCATCTTCTCCCACAGTTTCTTATCCAGAGCTCTCAGGAAAAAGTCGTGTGGTAGGAGTTACAGGGATTGTGGTAGAAGAGCCATATGAGTTAGCCCATTGTACTGCACAGGCTGAGGTTTGCGTTGGTCCGTTAGTCCTCTGGACGAATTGTTTCCATGTGTCTTTGATTTACTTCACTCTTCTTTGCTCCAGGTAGACAGGAAAGAACAGTAGTTGCACCTTAGACAGCCACTCAACAGATTTTAAGACCCTGGTGGCTACTCATCAAAGTAAGATGTAGAACATTGTCTTTATGGACTCATGTCAGTTGATCTTCATGTCCCCTCTGACTATAGTCCTGACTCCTCAGACCAGTGACTCATTCCCTCAAGGTGTTTGGTTGTGGATAAAATGTTTTCCTAACTTTGCCACCTGTTTGCAGTATCATATACCTAGATATGTTTATGGCACATATAAATATATATGTAGAAATACCATCGGCAAACCTATATATGGTTGTGGGTGTATTCCTGCTCTGCCCATACCTGTTCTTCTTCCTATCTGCCTACATACTTACTCTTAGATTAATGTTTGTTATTAATGCAAGATAGTATACATAATAGTATTTACTGTGTTGTTTATAACTCTGTGCACCTCTTTGTGTCTTCCTTTTCCTTAGGGATGTTTAGCTGATCAATCATCCTTATTATATATTGCCTGTCCCTTCTCTCAGATTAATATATGTCTGCTATCTGTTAGTGATTTTCCCTCTTCTCCCCTCTCATCCTTTGTAAGCATAAAAGGGTGTTTTCTTTCTGTGTGTAACCTTTCCTTGACTTAATAATGGGCTCGCTCATACAGTATTTGTGGTTTTGTCATTGACTTAATTTCATTCAGCATAATCTTCTCCAAGTTCTTTGACTTTGTGAGGTATTTCACGGATTTATCATTGTATAGTGTTCCATTATGTGTATGCACCATAGTTGGTTTATCCACTCACCCATTGGTGGGCACTTAGGCTGTGTCCATGTGTTTGCTGTTGTTAATAATGCTGCAATGAACGTGAGTGTGCGTTTACCTATTCTCGTGTCCCTGCTCTTATTTCTCTAAGACATACAAGGGAACTTGAAAAAGTTTGTGGACAAATGGAACTAAAAGATAATGGAATATTTCCACAAACTTTTTGAAGTCCCCTTATGTACCTAGTCATGGGATTGCTGGATCACATGATATTTCTATTTCCAGCATTTTAAGGAAGCGCCATACCATTTTTCACAATGGTTGCACCATTTTACATTCCTACCACACCCTTGCCAGCGTGTGTTGTTTTCTGTCACATTCTATATTGCTTATTATGATTATATTGTAATATTGTATTGCTGAGGTGAGAAGATATCTCATTGTTGTTTTGGTTAATGATTACAAGCATTTCTTCATGTGCTTGTTGACCGCCTGAGTATCTTCTTTGGTGAAATTTCTGTTTGTGTCTTTGCCCACTTCTTAATTGAATTGTCTGTTTTTTTGTTCTTCAGGCACTGAAGTTTCCTATACATTTTAGAGATTAAGTCCTTTTTCGACTTTATCATTGCCAAATTATTTTTCCCAGTCTGTAGACTTTTTTTTTTCTTTTTAAACTCTTTTAGAGAAGTCTTTGATGCAAACAAATTTTTAATTTTTACACAGTCCTTGTCTAATTTATCTTCTGTCAGTATGTTTTTTTACTTGTTTCATTTTTGTGCAAATAGATATCTA